TAGTCTTTTCTCTTAGAAAACCAGAAAAATATAAAATGAAAGAGAGTATATAATCTCCTGATGTCCATTGGAATTTTTTGAAAGTCAACTCAAGAACTCCAGGGAAAGAAAGAGGCTACTCAAAGTCACTATTTGCGGCTTAAATTGAGGACTTACAAGTGCCTAGTTTTCAAGAAAATATTAGAATATAACCAGGATTACATCAGTTCTAATTTCCAAACAAGGGCGGGATTAGATATATGACAGGGGTACCGATTCCCCGTCCTTTGCATAATATATTCTGCTCTTTCACTAATAAATCGACTAATTAAATTCATGTTTTTTCCATGGAAAAGGTCAGAAAAAGCCATCTTTTTCTCTAGAATTTATTTGTCAATGAGCATCTTGTATCTCATATGTGCTGTTTTGACCTTGTTCCAAAGTTTTTAGAACAAAACTAACTGGATTTATGTAGTACACTCTTACTGCATTTCTCTACGGCCAATAACCACAGAAGCACAGTAACTCAGTCCACCTTTAGGCATACTTAGCTTTCTACAAGTTCCAACTTATGTAAAACAATTTGATGTCATTGTTTTACTCACTGCTATGCTTATGCAGACATTGCAATTGAGTATAAATGCGCTATAATAGTGACTTAAGTCGCAATTTGAAGCTTAAAACTGATGCAAATACATTGCTATAAATCGGTTGCATTTCATCCTATAAAGCAGTTGAGTTTAAAAGAGAAAAGAAGACCAAGCAAGGGTATTTTATTCAGAATGAGAAATATAGCAAAACCATCTTAATTTATTCTGAATCAGTTATCTTACAGAGAAAAGAGTGGAATTAACTTACATAAAGCAGCTTTACAGTTAGTCAACCCTCCCCTTGTCTTGCGTGCACCAATATCAAAAACAACATTTCTTTTTTAAAAAGAGAAGAAATTCTTAATACATATTTTCAGGAAAAGATAATGACAGCACTATTAATAGAAAGAAAATAGTTAGTCAACTTACATTGCTTTTTCATTTCCAGTTCACGAGCTGGAAATTTCTAAATGCATATTTTAAAGAAAAGATTAGGTTGATCAAGCATCAAAGTCAGAATCAATCTTGGAAAAAGAATTGCTAAACAATAATTTTTTGTTGATATGCCGTGGTACCTTGTTGTCTATTTTGTGTCTTATATACCATGCACTAGTGCTTCAATACCAAAAACATTTCTCAGAGCTATCATCTCTTGCTCCTTGACATTTTCCAGAATGGATGTTTTTTCCGCGACTTTTAATCTCCACACCTTCTTGTCTATCCATGTTGCACTGTTCTTATTCTTATTTTTCTCCCAATATGCTGCAGCTGCTACATTACTTGGCAATGAAACTGACAAACTTGCCTTACTCGGGTTCAAGTCCGAAATAACTGAAGATCCATCAGGAGTTTTGGCCTCTTGGAACGATTCTGTTAATTTCTGTCTATGGACTGGAGTAAGATGTGGCCTTAGACAGGAAAGAGTCATTAGCTTGAATCTAAAAGGGCTAAGCTTGGCAGGTCCAGTCTCAGCTCATCTCGGAAATCTTTCCTTGCTCAATTCTCTTGACCTTGCAGAAAATTCCTTCCATGATCAAATTCCTCGACAACTCAGCAAGCTGACAAGGCTTCAAAACCTGAATTTGAGTTTTAACTATCTAGGAGGGGAAATTCCAGTTAATCTATCACATTGTGTTAACCTCAAGAATCTTGTCCTCGACCACAACAATCTTGTGGGACATATTCCTGCCGAAGTTGGATCATTAACCAGGTTAGTGAAATTGTATCTCAAAAATAACAACCTGACAGGAGTCTTTCCAGGTTCTATTGGAAACCTTACATCTTTACAAGAATTGTATTTATCGTTCAACAATCTAGAGGGAGAATTACCAGCTTCTCTAGCTCGATTGACCAAGTTGAGACAACTTGGATTGTCAGTAAATAGGTTATCCGGGGAGTTCCCTCCTCCGTTATACAATTTGTCATCCCTGGAATTAATAGCGCTTTCCCATAACAACTTTTCTGGTAATCTCAGATCCGATTTAGGCCATTACTTCCCTAACCTCCAAAAACTTTACTTGGCAGAATGTCAATTTATTGGTTCCATACCATCCTCTTTGGCTAATGCTTCGAAATTGCTACAGCTTGATTTTCCTGTAAACAATTTCACTGGAAATGTACCTAAGAGTTTCGGTAACTTGGGAAATTTGCTGTGGCTCAATGTTGGGAGTAACCATCTCGGATATGGTGCGGACGATGACCTCAACTTTGTAAGTTCTCTTACCAATTGCAGCAGTCTACTGACGCTCCATTTTGGAGACAACCAGTATGGAGGTACATTACCCCATGCAATAGCCAATCTTTCTAGTCAGTTACAACGCCTAATTCTCAACGGAAATAGAATTGATGGAAGCATACCCAAAGAGATCTCAAACCTGGTAAACTTGAATCTACTTGACATGAGTTATAACAATCTTACAGGTGGCATTCCAGATTCTATTGGAAGACTTACAAACTTGGGAAGTCTCAACTTGGGTAACAATCTCTTGATGAAAGGGGTCATCCCTTCTTCACTAGGAAATCTCACTAAACTCGTGTATCTTTATTTGGGGTATAACGGATTAGAGGGTAACATACCTTCAACCTTGGGAAACTGTAACCAACTGCTAAGATTGGACATTGCTGAAAACAATCTGACTGGAACTATACCACAGGAACTTATTGCTCTCTCATCCCTCACAAAAATTTATGCATATTATAACTCTTTTACTGGTCCGTTGCCAGTGTACATTGGTAACTGGAGTCAACTTACTTATCTTGATTTTTCCTACAACAACTTTTCGGGTATGATTCCACGAACTCTGGGAAAATGCTTGGCCTTGGGGGACATCTATATGAAGGGAAACTCCCTCCAAGGGACCATTCCCAATTTAGAAGATTTACAGGATCTCCAGTTCTTAGATCTTTCCCTCAACAACCTATCAGGGCCAATCCCTCAATTCATTGCAAATCTTACTTCCTTACTCTCCTTTAACTTATCTTTTAACAATCTAGAGGGCGAGGTTCCTGTCACCGGAATATTTTCAAATGTGACTGCAGATGTATTTGTCGGGAACTCCAAGCTTTGTGGTGGGATTCAAGAGCTGCATTTACCACCTTGTGTTTATCAAGAAACTCCAAAAACACGGAAGAAGCATGTACTTGCCCTCAAGTTTATATTGATCATTGTTTTTGTTGCTTCACTTTCTATCCTGACCTTGTTAGTAGTTTTCCTTTGTTTGAGAAGAAATTTGAAAAAAGATCAACCAGCTGATAGACCTAAATCTGCGAACTTCTATCCCAATATTTCTTACGAAGGGCTCCGCAATGCAACTGGTGGATTTTCTTCTGAAAATCTGATTGGCTCTGGCAGCTTCGGAACTGTTTACAAGGGATCTTTGGCCTCTGATGGGGCGGTCGTTGCTGTCAAGGTACTCAATCTCCAGCATCAAGGTGCTTCTAAAAGCTTCATAGCAGAATGCCAAGCATTGAGAAACATTAGGCACCGGAACCTTGTTAAAGTCATCACAGCATGCTCTGGTTCTGATTTTAAGGGAAACGAGTTTAAAGCGTTGGTGTTTGAGTTCATGCAGAACGGGAGCTTGGAAGAGTGGCTGCATCCAAAGGCAGAGACACAAAGGAGCAGCTTGACAATTCTTCAGAGAATACATATTATACTAGATGCAGCTTCTGCACTGCATTATCTTCATCATCAGTGCCAAACACCCATGATTCACTGTGATATAAAACCACAGAACATTCTTCTTGATGAAGATCTCACAGCTCATCTTGGAGATTTTGGTTTGGTTAGACTCGTTCCTGGATTCAGTATAGAACCCAATCTACATCAGTTTAGCTCATTTGGAGTTATGGGAACCATTGGCTATGCAGCTCCAGGTAAACTAAAACTGCGAAAACACAGATTGAAAGACATACGATATGAAATTACAGTGTATATATAGAATACACAATATGTTTTCTTCTAATAATAGTGGTTAATTTATAAGCTCAATTTTCTTGTTGCAGAATACGGCATGGGTGGTAAGGTCTCCATTTTAGGAGATATGTACAGTTTTGGAATCCTAATATTGGAGATATTCACTGGAAGAAGACCCACAGACACTTTGTTCCAAGAAAGCTCTAGTCTCCATCACTTTGTGGAAACAGCATTACCAGATAGAGCAATGGAGATTCTAGACAAAACAGCTCTAAATGGTGACATAATGCCGAAACCAACCAATGGAGAAGAATATTGGGCCAGTATGAAGAAAGAACAGATGGAATGCTTGGTTCGCATACTTGACATTGGAGTTGCATGTTCAGCTGAATCCCCAAGAGACAGATTGACCATGAGACAAGTTTACAGTAAGTTGACACAAATCAGACAAGATTTTCTAGGAGCAGAAGATGTGACGAGGCGATTGAGGCCATAGGTTACAACTTACAAGTGAAAGCATTGGATTTTAATCTAAAATGTTTTGCTAGTTTTAAATTCTGTCAATTTGGTAAGAAAAATGTGAAAGCGTTGTATTTATAACAGGTTTCAAATTGCAGTAGAATTTTCAGTATGCAGAAGAACTAAAGTAGCACGTAGCATATTCCTTGAGTTGACACTAATGGCTTTAGTTTAGGAAATTACATGTTAGTTCTAGACTTCTATATTAGGGTGGAAGAATCGGATGCATAAAGCATCTGCTAATAAACAACGAAAATTGGTACAGCCTATTCAGGAAGTTAATACAATTAGTTAATTAGGTAATTGAGGGGGAACTCAGCATCTACAGAATGCTTGATTCCATCATTGTATTGCTTATTTGATATTCCTACAAATAGTGAAAAATCAAATCTCTATTTAATTAGTGATTCTCCTTAACTAGACATTGAAAATTGGCGGACTGATCATGTGTGGTGTCAAAATGAAATTTACTTCTTTTAAAAGGAAGAATTAGCTAATCAATAAGCAAAACAATACTCAAAGTGTTCCATAATACGATTCCATTGTTACAGGGAAATAAAGCCGGGGCCAAACTCTAATGTCAAATTATTAGTAAGCCCCGAGGTAAGCTAACATCATAGGATAATTTGAACCTGAAATAGTGAAATTACAAGGATTGATAGACGATACCCAAAAAGCTAGGGACTCATTTACAGTAACGGTCAGCTTTCTTCTTGACCCGGTCATCAAGGGCATCTTCAACGGACTTGACTTTTGCATTCGGGTCGTACCCGAATTTCCTGGCCTCGATCGGGAACAACTCATCGTATTTCCTACGCTTAGCGGCGTCAATCGTATAAATATCATCGGGAGCAGCATCAGCATCTTGTTCAGTAGCGGCGACGGCGGCGTCACCGGTCAAAGGCTCGTCGGAAACGACGTCGTCGATGGACTTGTTCTTCTTTTTCTTCTTCTTCTTCTTGTCGATTGCTTTGCTGCGGCTAGCTACTGCGCCTCCCTTGAAGGTTAACCGACCTCCTTTCACTTTCTCGTACGGGTCCGACATGGATCTTCCTTTGCTTTCTTCTCTGTTAATTCCTGCTGATTTAATAATTTGACGGGTAATAAGGTTTTGCAATACAAATTGTGAAAAAGGAAGAAAACTATGGTAGGTACATATTGTAAATTTGAGCTGAAATAAGGGTTCATACTTTATGCGGCTTGAAGGCAATAGATACCGGAGGCAAAAGGACTAAAATAGTGGTGCACTTTTTAGTGCTGCAGTTCATATTATTTAATAAAGTGATGCACTTTTACTCTCCGTCAAAAACTTATGTTAGTTGTTTAAGGGAAAGAACCTCACATGCCAACATATGATATTTATTTCCTCAAAAAACAAATACTACTATACTATTAATCCTATCGAGTTACTCTTTAGTTTGAAAAAGTGTACTGTAGCAGTCAGAGGCAGATTTAGAATTTGAAGGTAGCGGGTGCCAATTTTCTTTAATGTATATCTTGTAATAACTAATACAAAATTTGTTAAGAATATTTATTTAGTTTATTGAGTTTATTCGGGTCAACCTAAAAGGTATTTTGTATTTGCAAATATAAAAATTACATCCCAAATATAAAAAAAAAACAAACGTAATTAGTATTTTAAATAAGAAATATCGCCTTTATTATAACAATACAAGTAAATCAACATTTTCACTAGGAAATTAAAGCAAATACAGTCTTAATATTGAAATAGCGATATTTTTGTTAGAAGCATTATCAAAAGGCATACACAATACTTTTTTATTAAGATTGTAAAATACAACAATTTCGCAAATAGTAGTACTTATAAAAATAGCAGTATGACTTTGATCTTCATCATATTTAAAAGCGATAATTATTGCAATAATTATCATCTATCCAATGACATGTAATTGTCAAATAATCATTTCCATTAACAGCATGACCAATATCAGAAATTAGAGAAACTCTACAAGGAAGATGGTCAAACAAATAACATATGTATGTCTGATATTGTCCATAAAGACTAAAGATATCAGATCTACAAGTACTTCTAGGGATACATTCAAATAAAGGATTATAAATCCTTTGAATATACATAATAAGTGTTACGCGGCGCCTTCCTGAAGTTCCTTGGAAGGGCAACGTAAGGCTAAGCAACCGATGTCAGTGCGGTTACTATGCGCCAACCGAGGTCCTCGCCGTACACTAGACTAGATTGTCAGTGCCGTACGGAAAAACCAATGTCGTGAGTAATTGAGCAGCGAAAAATGAGCAATTGATGATGAAAGCTGATGATTGTATTGATGATGATGAAAGCTATTACAAAATGCAATGCAGTGTCGGGGGGGAGAGACACCAGTACAGAGAATTGTTTGAATGCTTGAATGTTTGAATGCTTTGGTCCCCCTTAATAATGCTTAAAAAAAATAAACCAAAGTTACATGAGTTGACCTAAGAAAGCTGTAGAAGCACACTGAAAATGAATGAAGTAAAACTACTCTATAATTACAATGAAAAGGACTTAGTCTTCTATGGAAGCAAGTCCGATGGCAGCAACTTTGTCTTGAGCA